CCAGCTACTTGGGAGGCTGAGGCAAGAGAATTGCTTAAACCCAAGAGTTTGAGGTTGCTGTGAACTGTGACGCCACAGCATTCTACCAAGGGCGACATAGTGAACCTCTGTCTCCAAAAAAAACAAAAACAAAAAAAAAGAATACTTCTATCCCCTTCCCAACCCTATATTGATTAATTTACCTCCTACTCATTTTTCTTATCTTGGCTCAAGTGTCAGTTCCTCAGGAAACCCTGACAACCCTAGTCCACAACAGGTTCCTTCAAGATTTTATCTCAACTTGTAAATATACATTATGGATTATTTAGGATGGTTATCTAACATCTAGTTGAAGCAGTAAGCTGCAAGCTCAATGAAAACAGTGCCAATAGCTCAGCACTGTTACTCCTCCATTTGGAACAAAGCAAGTGCTCAACAAATATTTGCTGAATGAGGGAATGAATGAGTGACCAACTAAGCAAAAATCTACCAACCTGTAAGTCTAGATGGGGTAAGATAATGTTAACTACAGCATCTCACAATAGAAAAGTGTGTGCTAATTCTTTCTTCTGATTGCTGTTAAACTTGTATATTCACAAGATAAAGTGACAAAAAAAATATATATATATATATATAATTTTGAAAATCTCCCACAGCTCAAAGTAAACCAAACCAAACATGAAATATTTAATCAGCCAAGAAAAAGTCTAGATACCCACAACAGGAGCATGTAGTCTAGACTGAGAACTTCATAAAAGGACCAAATCACAAGAGGCACCTGTCCTCAATGTCTTGCATCTTCCTTGAGGAAAGGAACTCACTTGTCCCCTACAGCAAGTCCAGGCACAGGATACAAAAAAAAAAAAAAAATTCTACAGGCTCCCCAACCCTTAACAGAAGTTTAGGTGAGGAAAACTCATGCCTAAGTTGATGAGGAAAATGGGCATTTATTCAAAATGTATTTACTAAGCACCTACTGTGTGTGTACCAGAAAAGCCTGGCTTTAAGCATTTCTCCTTCAGAGTCATGCAGGTGAGCAAATGAGATCCGGCCTACCTAATTCAAAAAGCTGGGAACCGGATCTAATAGCGATAATGAACTTCAAAAAGTGCCAAAGGGGCACGAAGGCCAGGAGACCCACACACTCGCAAACTTCGGCGCCAGCCAAGTGAGAGAGCCTGGGGCTGCCGTCGAGGGACCGCAGAGTCGGGCGGAGGCGGGTACCCGCCCTCCAAGGGGCCGCGCTTACCCGTCGGGAGAGTATTCAAGGTTGAAGACGGCACCGTGGGTGCGGGTGCTAAGGTACACCGAGTCCGCGGGGTGGATGGAACCATACAGGTTGGTCATGGTGCGGAAATTGTCCCGCGCTGGGTCCACAAACAGCCCGCGGCCCAGACTGCGCTCTCTCAGCCACCCGAACAACCTGGCCCCGGGGCCGCCCAGGCCCGTGCTAAGGCCATGCCGGCCCCGGCTCCCGGCCCTGCAGTCCGTCCCGGGCCGCCGGCGCGGCGGGGAGGGCGGTGACGGCTCGCCCTGGGCGGAGACAACTGAGGTCTCCGGAGACCTGGGCGGCCGGAGCTCTGCTGCACGCACGGCTGGGGGCAGCGAGGGGGCGCCGGGGCGGCGAGGGCTCCGGGCGGGTGGCGGGGGAGGGGCTGCGTCAGCCCCAGGTTGTGGTGGCGCGGAGGGGGCAGAGGGCGGCCTGGCGGCTGCCGCTTGTTCCCCTTGAGGCCCCAGCTCCTCAGCCTCGGCTCCGGCCGCACTGTCCCCTCCAGGGCTACACGGCCCGAAGGGAAACATGACCAACGCCCCCGCCCCTTGCTCCCGGCAGCTGTCCCGCCAGCCGCCACCTCAGCGCTCTGCTCAGCGCCACTTCCGGCGTGCGGCGGCCTAAAGCCGCCGGGTGGAAACCCGCGCCACTTCTGGGCCACCATCCGCCGGGGACTGGGAAAGCTAGGACACTGCCGGCTGCGGGTGCTGGAGTCGCGGGGGGACGGAGGAAGGCAGGAACTAGTGTTATGTGTGAGTGACTGAGGGGGCCAGGGTCTGGGCTGTATGGGGAAATTAGCATCCGGGCACTGTGTATAGAGCCGGTCTACACTTGTCGGTGAGCTGGGGATGCGTGCCTGAAGATGAGTGGACCTGACCAAAGCAATCCTACGAGGCTGAGTGTGATTTTGTACTGGTGTCTCCACTTTGCCTTGATAGCAGAGAGGAAGTAGAAATAAGGTATTATGTGCAGGCCACACACAGTAAATGGCAGGATGTACTGCCTACTCAGCCTCAGAGTGTCAAGCCGCAAAAGTTAACTTTTGCAGCAAAAAGCCCCTGTCTGTACAGTGCCTAAAATAAGGGGGTCTGCGGGTGCCCTGAATATCTGCCCAACTCCCATGCCTGGTAGTTCATTTTTATCAAGGCCAAAGCCTTCCTCTCCGCAGGAAGGAGCACGTATCCAGCCTGGACTAACTGAAAGGAGCTGGAAACCTGAATCAAATCACAAATAGCACAGGGTCAGTCCTCCTGTACCTGCCAGGTAGGGCATGAAGGCCATGACAGATGTAAGGCTTTTGTGTGTGTGTGTGTGTGTGTGAGACAGTCTCACTATGTCGCCGTCGGTAGAGTCCTGTGGTGTCACAGCTTAGAGCAACCTCTAGTTCCTGGGCTTAAAAGATTCTTTTGCCTCAGCCTCCCAAGTAGCTGGGACCACAGGAGCCCATCACAACCCTATTTTTTTGGTTGTAGTTGTCATTGTTGTTTATCAGGCCCGGGCCGGGTTAGACCTGGCCATCTCCAGTGTATGTGGCTAGCGCCCTAACCACTGAGCACAGGCGCCAAACCCAGAGGAAGGCCTTTAAGAATGAGTAATCGTTCACCTTTAAGTATGAGTACTCTTTTGCAGAAAAGGATGAACAGGTACTGCGGTTTCCTGGGGAGGAGAGCCGAGTCCCCAATAAAGGACAGCTTGAGGTACAAGGAGATGCTGAACTAAGAACTGACAACTCCTTGGCCTTGATCAAGAGCTGTGTTATAAAGGCCTGCCTTGGTGACTCACACCTGTAATCCTAGCACTCTGGGAGGCTGAGGCTGCTGGATTGCCTGAGCTCAAGAGTTGGAGACCAGCCTTAGCAAGAAAAATAGCCGGGTGTTGTGGCGGGGGCCTGTGGTCTCAGCTACCAGGGAGGCTGAGGCAAGAGACTTGCTTTGAGCAGTGGTCTCAACCTTCCTAATGCCGTGAACCTTTAATACAGTCCAAAGGGGTTGTGACCCACAGGTTCAGAACTGCTGGCTTTAAGCCTAAGAGTTTGAGATTGCTGTGAGTTATGATGCCGTGGCACTTTACCCAGGGCAATAAAGTGAGGCTCTGTCTCAAAAGATAAATAAATAGAAGAGCTGTGTTGTAGGAAGTTCACATCTAGTGACTGTGAGGATAAATATCTCTGGAGGAAGATTTGTGAGGAAAGATCTGAAAGAGCAATGGAGAAAGGGAATAAATTTAAGAGTCTGAACATTCAGCAAGTCCTACTAACAGGAAGGTTAGTAGTTATTCAGCTCTTCCTGTCCATAAGCTGACTGAGAAATAGGGAAGAAGCTGGCATCCTGAGTTAGAAGATCAACATAGCCATTCTTCCAGAGATATCCCTATGTTGCCTCCACAGAGCAAAAGAGGTAGAGGTCTGTTTAACAATTGACCAGTAACTTCCCTTAAGGACCCACAACTTCTGGTTGCACAACAGATACTTAAAGAGCCTCTGCTTCCTCCCCTCCCCCCAACACACTTCCCACCCCAAAGTTAACAGCCAATGGCTAAAATGTTTATTTATTTTGGCCTTGGTAGAGTGCTATAGCATCATAGCTCACAGCAACATCAAACTTTTGGGCTCAAGTGATCCTCTTGCCTCAGTTTTTCATTTTTAGTAGATACAGGGTCCCACTTTTGTTCAGGCTGGTCTCGAACTCGTGACCCACCTCAGCCTCCCAGAATGCTAGGATTACAGGTGTGAGCTATAGCCCCCAACCTCAATGGCTAAAATTTTACAGTCTGCAAAACCTTGACCATGATATATTTACCAATTTTTTTTGAGACACAGTCTTACTATGTTACCCTTGGTAGAGTGCTGTGGCATCACAGCTCACAACCTCCAACTCTTGGGCTTAAGCGATTCTCTTGCCTCAGCCTCCCATGTAGCTGGGACTACAGGTGCCTACCACAAAGCCTGGCTATTTTTCATTGCAGTTGTCATTATTTAGCTGGCTCTGACTGGGTTCACATCCACCAGCCTTGGTGTATGTGGCTGGTGCCATAACCACTTTGCTATGGGTGCCAAACCTATATTTACCAATGTTATTTATCTTTTTGATTTGTTCTGACCTTACTTGGAAATAAATTTCTTTTTTTGAGACAGAGTCTCAAGCTGTCGCCATGGTTAGAGTGCCATGACGTCACTGCTCACAGCAACCTCAAAGTCTTGGGTTTAAGCAATTCTCTTGCCTCAGCCTCCCAACTAGCTGGGACTATAGGTGCCCACCACAATGCTCAGCTATTTTTGTTGTTGTTGTTGCAGTTGTCATTGTTTTTTTAGCTGGCCCAGGCCAGGTTTGAACCTGCCACCCTCGGTGTATGTGGCTGGTGCCCTACCCACTGAGCAACAGGCGCTGCCAAATTATGTTTTTATTAAGTGAAATTAAACTCAATTTTAAAAGGTTACATATTCCAAGATATGTGAGGTATACTTCTAACTGAAAAATACAAGTTTTACAGTGAGAGTTTATGCTGGCTCAAAATAATCAGATTTCATAGTTCAAGCAATTCAAAATTAGCACACTCAAGCCTCAAGGCTGATTAAGAACTGTTCTCTGACAATTTATAAAACCTAGAGAAACAAAATAACAGCAAAGACATTTTGTAGGGTTGTATGTAAGTCAATGAGAATGGTTCTTGAAAAATTAAGATAGCTACAAACTTAAATCAGTGGTGTTTATAACACATGAAACAAGTCACTTAGTATGCCAGATTTTTTTCCTAAATGCTCCTACTTAAAGTGTAAGTACTCACATATTCCAAAGAATTTTTTACTAAAACCTAAAATAAGAATAAATTATATAGGACTAAAATTCTGTTGAAATTACCATGATTTTACAACCTACCAGTAAAAAGGAAAAAAAAAATCACTGGAGGTTAGTAAATTGACAAGACACTAACGGTAGAACTAAACTTTAACTAGGCCTATTCCTTCAAGAGCCATTAAATACACATGCTAACAAAATTTACTTCAAATCACAGCCTATACAGAGGACAGTTTCTATGTAATACCATTTTTTTTTCTTTTAAAGGGGAAGGTTTCTCTCTGTCATGCTGCCCAGGCTGAAGTGCAGGGTGGAATTATAGCTCACTAGAGCCTTGACCTCATGAGCTTAAAGCAGTCCTCCTGCCTTGGTCTTCCAAGTAGCTGAGATTACAGACATTAGCTAATCATGCTCAGCTATATTACACCATTCTTTTTTTTTTTCTTTTTTTTGAGACAGTCTCACTATGTTGCCCTTGGTAGAGTACCATGGCATCACAGCTCACAGCAACCTCAAACTCTTGGG